TCAGCAGCATCGTTATCAGCAATCCAGAGGCATATCTTAAAGAAGTCATACACAGTATTTTTAATAGATCTCCATCTGTTTTTTGATGAAAAGCCCTGATCAGGATTACAAAAAACTACTGAAGTGACTCCCCATTTCTAATAGATGAAATTATAAGAAATATATAATATTTCTAAATATATTTCTAATATATAATATTTCTAAACATGATGCAAAAATGTTGCATCTGTTGTCCTTCCTTCAGTGGTCTCTCCCAGCTGACCTCCTACAAAGCATTCAGATCAACAGCTTCTTCTTCTGACATGATGGAGTATGCAAACACCACACTAACCAAGTCTAGCTAAAACCTTAAGGACATTTCTGGTCTAGTCATGCCAGAACAGAAGAAGATAAAACCAACCATTTGCCAACTAGATCTTCCAAATCTGAACGAAGAGTTGGTTTAGAGTATATTAAGTATGTCAGGCATCTCACTGGATAAATCTTAGCATCATGGGCCTGGCTGAATTTTGTTCTGATGTCCATGGCTGCTTTACTGTGCATATATCAGACTTTGTCATGTATAACTGAGAATGAATAAAGAAGTTATTTGAGAAAAGAGTGGCATTTATTCTGAAGCAGGATGCATTTCCTTTCACACCGCTATGCTCATTACCCAGTGCCTGGAGCCCTCATTCAGACCTTTCATCAGTAACAGCTGAGGATGAGGGAACAGAAGAGGTCTGCAGTCAACTGTGAAAGCCAACTTATACTGTGCCAAAACCGGTGTAATGCTTAGCCCAGAGGGTGTTGGAGTTAAATACAGAGGAAGAAGCTGTTGATCAGAAGGTTTTATAGGAGATGGACTGGGTAAGATCACTGAAAAAGGACAAAAACTTATTCAGTTTTGCTTGGAGAATATGTATGACACTGTAAACACTGTATTAACTTTTCTGTTAGGAATAATGGGCTTGGATCTCTTCACATAAGCTCTGCAACAGTAAATCATTTATATCAACATGCAGAAAAGCTGTAAACCAGCATTCTACTGAATGCTGAATCTGTCAGAATTGGGAGGCAGAAGGTCCCCATCACTAGGAAGTGCCTTCTGCTGAAATGCAAAAATGTATCATCAGAAATTACTGTATTAATTTGTACTATCAAAAACAATTTAGGAAGTGTAAAGCCACTTCATTTTACCATAAGGAAAAAAATTGCCACTGTAACCAAAGCAAGATCTGGCTGCAGCTACAACTACTGAATTATGGGTATGCCTACGTGCGTTCTGTTTCAGTATCTTTGCTTCCAACATCTTTTGAGTGACACAAGTGTCCTCCAGAACATTTTAGACGTCTCCTGAAGGTCTCACTAAAAAGTGAAAGCAAATAAAAAAGACATCACAATGAAAAAGCCACACAGGAATACCTGGTGTGGGAGTCATGACTTCTAATTTTGGTCATCTAAACTTAGTCCAGCCTAAGATAATTCTCTAAAATGTTTCTAGTGGCTGCTTGGAATTGCCTGTCTCTCTCTGTAGACCAGATTTCTCTTTTTCATGTAATGGAAACATATAATTAGCCAATGCCTCACAATGCACCTGCATGTTCTCTCAGTTTTGTACTCTTTGCAGCTCTAGAACAGTAAAAGTTTTATAAATTAATGTTCATTTAGAAGACCTGACATGATGGTTTTAATTCCATTGGTTTGAAAATTCCATTGGTACCAATTTACTCATATTTTAGAAATAATTTGAAGAAAATCTGTATTTTATTTTTTCTACTCTTCAGAGTTTCCAGATGTTGATAGACAAATTAAAATGGGTCTTTCTTACAGGAGATAGTTTAAGGACATATAGTTAATGTGTTGTTCTTTCACCATCTTTTATAATGAAAACTGGCAACACATCTGAGGTCAAATAGGAGTATCATTAAAAAAGGAGCATAATACAAATGTATTTACAGCATTGCCTAAATTTGCTGCTATCCAACAGGAGCAATTACAGTGAATTACCCTGTACAGTATTGGAAAATCCTGTACAGAACTATTATTCAGCGTACCATACTTTATAGAAAACAAAATGCTAAAGAGCCAAAAAGGTAGTATCTGCTTAATTATGTCATAAAAATATTCTAGTTCCTTGCTTAAGTTCCCTAGAAATTGCCTCTCTCACTTACACACATACGAATACACAGCTCAAACATTTTCTTTAACCTAACTGTGCTGTTGATGGCATACCAAAAAGACAAGCTTATGTAAAAGTTTCTGCAATATGCCTTGTGCCCCTATAGATGAATAGTCAATAACTGATAGCAGATAATGTCACTATGGATGCTTTAAGTGCTAAGTGAGATCTCTCTCTAAGTTCTTTTGTAGCCCTTGTTACTATCATCTCAAAAGCTTCTCAAGTATGTCTAACACAAATTCTGATGTATGCAAAAAAAAAAAGATAATTTCAATACTTCTACAATTTATGAACTCTTGGAACTCTTTTTGATTATTCTGCATCTTTTGGTGGTAATACCTTTGTTAGTGCACTGGTAAATGTGGCCCACTGTGCCAAATACTGTTGTTTTCAGTATAGATCATATGCAAGGAAGCAGCATAACTGGATACAAGTGAACTCCATATAAAAGCATTTCACAGAAATACACATTTTTACATCCTAATTATAATCATTAATGAAAGATTGACTAAAGCTGTGTTAAGCACCCTCAAGATGTTTGAAGTGGTTTAATGAGATTGCCCACAAAACATGGTTCTTTTAAAAATGAAGCTTTTTAAACACCTGCATTTAATGGTTGCTACAATTCTGTAATGGAAAAACACAGTGAGAATCTTGGATCTCAACTGAAATGGAAAAAGAACACAAAGGGACTTGACAAGCAACGAATAAAAGACTCACTGAATAAATCAGAAAAATGTCTGTATGTATCCAGTGCAGTACTCATATGCTGCTGCAGTTGTAAGATACCAAAAGACCTGATTTGAGGGTGACCTATCATGCTCTGAAAAATACACAATTATTAGACAGTGGTTATCTTTACTTTTTCTGATTCCTAGTCTACTTATATTGTCTAGGGTACCTATCAATGCCCTAACTAATCATGAGATGCCTATTCCATTATGTTAATCATATCCAAAAGGTGGAGGTCCGTATGTCCGTGCCTCCAGATATGCTATATATATTATTTTGTAGTCTGTGTTTTGAGAAGGGTGCCATGTTTAACTGTTGTACTTGAAAACAATGCAAAAATTGTTTTTTATGTTAGTAGAATCAGTGTTAGGCCTTGCATGGAACAGTACACAATGAAGCTTAAAATAATCAATTAAGTATCACTTTAAAAAGCATGACCTGAAAATCTTTCCATTCTAAGTAAAAATATAGGAAGTTAAAGGATATAAATTAAAATATTATTCTAATAAGTGTTGGTGTTACTAGAAATGCTTTTTGTGTAACTGTTTACTACCCCTGTGTGGCACAATCATTTCTGCCAAAAGTGTACTATTTATATGACATCTTTAATAGAAAAAAGGCACTTCTGCTGACAGCTGCTTAATACAGTCTTGGTTAGCATAAATTTAACAAAAATCTGTACTTTTGTGAAGCTAACGCAGCAGCAGCAGATGGATGACATCTGAAGTACCAGCCAAATGTAAAGGAATTATAGCAGGAGTAAAGAGGGCTGAATTTTGCCCACTAAGATTACAGGCTACTTATAGTTTATATACTGACAGAAATAGCTGTAGCAGCACAATGTTACCATAGAAACTTGTAGACCAGTAAAATATTCCTCCAGCTCTCCACCAATGGAGGGACAGAAATACAAAGCTCGATATGGTAATGAGAGCCACCAGAGGATGATGAATGTGAACTGATTAAGGGTGGGGATTAAGTAAAACCTTAAAAAGCCTTTAGGAGTGAAAAATGCCTGTGACTTCCCTAGTTAATACAGTGGCATATTTAATTCTCTAAGATTTAAACATTCACTGAAACATTGCTTTTTTCCTTGGGATTACACTGTCAGACATATTTTGGATGTTTTCCTTAATTATTTTGTACTGTTTTTACATACTGGGGACTTTGGGGGAGAGGAGCATGAATCAAAATAATATAGACTGTGTCTTCAGACCTCAGAAAACTGTACTTTATGAATAAAACTAAATAAAGTGAGCTAATTTAAACTATTTTTAGTGTCCACACCATTTAATATTTCCAGGTAAAAACTAAAAAATGAGATACTGTAATTCTCTTTGCATACCTAGAAATCTACTACCAATTCACTCACTTTTTAATTGCATATTCAAGCATTTTATTCTGGTCAAGGTCACAGAGTCAATTTTTTTGCATGGTTATTGCTGATTGTTTTGGAAAATGTAACATCTCCATCAGTAGAGAACGTTACAATTAGCTGGAATTTCAGTTAAAAAAAAAAAATTCTATGTCTTTTCCACCAATAGTATTCATGGTAATCTGTACATTTTCCAAGATACATTAGTACATATGCCATCTAACTCATACCACAAGAACAAGTCCATCTGTTTAAACATACTAATTTTGTCACATTAAATGAGGCATGTTGGGTTTTTACTATTTAAAATGTTAACACTACAGTGCACAAGTTTGGGGTTTTTTATACATATACATAGCAGTGTGTAGATATTACCTCTCCTCCAGATTATTGAAGACCAAAGAAAAACTACTATGTAATCCGTACTACTGCAATTCATCTGTTTCCAAACATTTGCAGCAACTATCTATATTCTTCTCTTAAAGATGTAGGCTAGACAGACTGAGAGAATAAAAAATTAATCATCTGAGATATCTTAGCAAGTCAGTGGGATGGAGCGCAAAGTTTGTACTTCTGGGCCAATTGTTAGGACTAGATAAATGCTGCATTTATCACACAACATATCCAAATGAGATATTAAATGTGGAAATCAAACAAATTGAGTACTTAATACAGTATCTCACATATCAATGTTTTTCAAAGCATTGTTTTGATTATATCTGCTTATGTTACCTTGCTGTAGCTTGATCGTCCATATCAGTCTTTGATTTCTGGGGGGTCACCTGTTCTGATGGAAAGGCAGTCCTGCAATAAGAATGGTGAAAACACACTTAAGGCACAAGAAGAGATCTGGAAATACGTTATATCATTTCAATGGGTTAATCATTGTAGATATATTTCTTACAAGCGTAACCACAGTGAGTTTGGATTTTCTTTGAGAAACTTTTTTAGTTTTTTTTTTTTTCTTTAAATATATCTATAAAGAATTTATATATATATCTATATAATATATATATTGCACATAAAGAGTTATGTTATGCTTTAGTTCACTAGATTACTCCATCCACTCAGCCTTTTGAAAATTAGTATTCCAAGACTAGATGTTTTGCTTGTATGAATATAGTAAGAAAGTGGAGTTTCTTTACTGTTTCAAAATTATTTTAGTAATAAAGGAACTTTTAAATACTTTTCTACTACCTACTAAGTACGTTTTACTTATTTAGTAAAGATGAATATTTTACTTATTTAGCAAAGTACTGATTTTTCTAAAAACTAAATAAGTACTCAATTACAATTTCTTATTTTTATTTACTTGTGTGAACAGTCAGATTGGTCACTACAGGAATACTGAAATGATAAGAAATTATAGGAAAGGGAGAAGGTGGGTGATACAGTTTGACATGAGAGTTACATGCTTCTTTAGAGAATGTTTCTTTTAGGATGGCAACTAAACCATGACAAGCTGTCTTAATTATAAGTCATGAAATTACAGGTTGGTTAAGTAATCTTTTCCCTACTTAGATGATGTGAAATGTACATTTAATTAATGAATTAATGTAATAAATTTATTTCTAAAATTAGAGCAACATTTTCAGCCACTCAAATAAATTTAGAGTACTTTACATCAATCCATCTTATGTCAATGTCTTCTATTACAAGCCATTGCATGTGCAGAGCTTTTTAATTTGTTACTTTCTTCTTCACTTTGCTAATGCTGTTTTTCACTCTCTCTTTAAAGCAGCAGTTTAATTTAAAGGAGCATTTGCATTAGCAACATATGTAACTGTGGAACTAAAATTGTGAAGCAGTTTTTAATTTTTTATGCAGCTACAGTTGGTTTTTCAGTTTGAATAAATATCCAATGAAATGTTCTAAGCTATGTGCAAATAATTACATTTCTGCAAGGAAGGAAGTCTTTTTGATGTGCTTCTGTGACACTGACCATGGAGGAACCTTCCCAGGGAAAGTATACAAACTTTGCATTATAAATAAATGTAAAATAGGGTTGTGCACAGGAGTATGTTGCATTTCTGAATCTAAGAAGCAAAGAAAGCAAGACATACATTGTTGGAGCCTCTGAATTTTCAGAAGTGGTCCTAGAGAATGAAAAGATTAAACATTTCAGAAACCAAGTAGCAAAATGCTAGCATTGAAGCACTTTGCAAGATTTTAGATCAATCAACAACAATTTTACTTTTTTTTTCCTTCCAATACATTATTTTCCTTTGTTTCTTAATGGGGAACATAACCTGCTTAGCTAAACTAACATAATACTAAATTCTAATCATATTCTTTATATGTTACTAAGACAATTCTTCAGTTAACATTCTCCAGTCAATCACTCTGATCAATAGTGTTTTGTTTGCAGCACACAATTCAATTACAGTGAGCTGCTTATATTTTAGCTTCAATTGCAATTTCTTTTAAGTGTCCTGTAAAGTGTGCTTAATCAGCCTGGACGTGAGGCAAAGCACTCCAGAAATTTACATGTCATGCTTGAGTACAGAAGGCTACAATCAGGTCTCAGAATGAGAAAAGGCAAGTAAATAATAAACCCTGACCAAAAAAACCCACAAAGCCATGACTGCTGAACTCCCTGGGAATAGCAGAACAATCAGCTATTCTCATATTTGAAGAAAAGACACAGATCTTTGCTCCACTCATCTTTAAGACTGATAGTGACCTTTAAAAATGGTGGTTATTAGCATCTGTGCATAGACCTTTATTTCCTGAAACTCATAAGTGAGTAAAAGGCTTTCCTTTGGTGACTATTATTAGTTACAGTAATATTCACAATTTGAAATAGCTCTCCCATCTTCAAAGTACTTTTAAAAGATAAACAAATTAATTATTTAATTTTCATCATTGTTTGACCAACTGTCCTTGGCGACATTGTTGTTAGATGCTCCAGGAAGGATCATGAAAGCTTCAGAAAGAAGAAGCCTGCCTGTATTTCAGTCTTCTCTGAACTATGAGAGTAGAGTAGTAACTAGATAATTAGTGTTGAGAAGGACACAGGAATCCCAGTTTTTTGTTGGAAGCCAAGCAGATGCCATATAGAGGATTCATCCTATCCTGTGGTTTCAAAATTACCACAATCATAGTGAGATTACTGAAATGGAGCCAGATAAATTCATCATTGTTGACATTCTAAAAATATCTAGTAAGCATTGACTTAAAAGAAAATAAACTTTAGTATCTAGGAGCTATTTTTCTGCTGGATGGCGAATGACTTTTTAATCTTGGTCAAAGAGATGGACAGTAGTAAACACAGAATAAGATTAAAAATAATTGCTAAATTTGGTTTTAAGGATTCATCTTAAAGTATTCCAGTGACAGAGATTCATAAACTCCCTAGGCAATGGACTACCAAGTAATTACATCTAACATTGCAAGTTATCCATTCATTTCTGTTTAATTTTCATCATCGATATGCATGAGTGTCATGTTGGAAATTTTCCAGATTAAAATTAGGGAAGCACAAGGCCATGCTGCAGCCAATAGGGGACGTAAGCAGAGAATAACATAAAAGTTAATTCATAAATATTTCAAACCATCCAGATTCTGATTTTAGATGAGAGCACAAGAAATGTTCTCTGTTCTATTTCTGATATGCCAGAAAGCAACCACTACTTTAGAAATAAATATTAAACATTAATCTGCAGGTAACTTTAGCCTGAGATTTTCTTTTAAACTATTTCTTAGACACCTCACTGAGAGCTAACTAAGCAGAATTCGAGTTTTTGTCCACAGTTAACCAAAAGGGCCCAGGGTTAGTCCCAGGCTTTCAAACCTATGGCATCAATAGGTTCCTGCCCTTATAACTAGTCACTCTATAGCAGAATTGCCTTGTGGAGAGCTGACTGGAATAGTCCAAAGCAAAACCATGAAGAAAGCATACAAACACTGTAGAAAAATTTTGGGAGTACTTATATAACCTTAAGTTGCTGGAACTTCCTGTACTCAGACCTCAGTTAATGTTGGGCATCAAGCTGCTAAGAGCCCAAACAAGTATTTAGGCATGGGACGCTTTCTCTCCCCATGCTGTCTTACTCATCAAACTCAGGCCCTCAAAGAATTGCCCTGTTGGATCACTACCCAAATCAGCTCTAGCCAAGAATTAGAAAACAACTGTCAATCGTCAGTACTTACCATTTGGTTTCCACTGTTTCTGTCATGGTCTTACTACTTGGAACTGCAGGAGGCATCCAAGATTGCCTGACAGTGTTAATAAATAAATTTTTGAGTATTAGTTTAATGGTACGGGGCTGAACAACATACTGTGAATGTTAGAATATCAGAAGTGATATAGAAATACCTGGAACTTAAATTATTAGTGATTTGAAATTTTAGAATTTAGTATTTAGACTGTTAGACCATTTGTTTTTTACATGCAGTTGAATGGAATTGGAAATAACATAGTAATTTTAATTATTGTTGTGAAAAAATTTTCTGACTCTAGGTGGTCTTTTCTACAACCTGAATGGTACAATGGATCATTCTTGGGAAGAATAACCGAATAGAATGCACAAAGGAAAAGGTGTCAAGTATCAACACAAGGAACACATTCAGGCTGGTATTAGAGTTTTAGAGTTCACATAAACATCACAAGCACTTTTAGTTCTACCATTTTTTTGTTTTGTTTTGTTTTGTTTTTCTCCCCTCAAAACTATCAATCCAGCAACTGTTTGTAAGGAAGAAGCAATTGCACCATAAACAGTGCGATTCAGTGATGGCCTTTCACACCTTCAAAGAGCCTGAAGAGAACTACTGGGCTGGAAACAGCATAAACTTCCAACTAACAAGCAGAGCTGCTGAATATGAGAATGATGACCTTTTAATTTATACTTTCGTAATTCAACTGATCACAATTTTTATTCATGAAATATGGAAGAGAAAATCACAAATGGATAGTATTTGAAGCTGGGAAGGATGCATAAAAATATGGCTATCACCAGCCCTACATTTTAAATTAAAAATATAATTATATTCTCTACATCCTGTTTTTATTCTTGCCTGAAATCCAAATTTTTAAAGCTAGTTGTGCATCATGTGTAGAACTATGTGGTTCATATGTACTGCAACAGCACAGAGTCAAGTTCAGCATCAGAAATTTCAGCTGGTCGCAATTACAGTGCGCTACAAAGCTTTAAATTCTGACACTGGAAAGGCATACACTCACTGAGTTAGGGGCTGCGGCAAAGAATTAGCATCTGTTTTGCTATGTCCACCAAGGCTCACAAAACTGGCTCTACAGAAACAGCTTTGCAGCACAGTACTCCCATGGAAGAAGCCAGAGCATGTGAAAGTTTAATTCTTGAAGCTTGATGAGGAGTTAGAGTGTGCTAGAGGAAAAAGTTGGTAATGTTTTTTATGTAATTGTGCTACATTACTGAGGTTTAACAGAGTGCTATGTATCCTCCGGCAACCAAGGAATGGTGGTAATGAATACCTTTTTTTCTTGATTGGAGAAGTTGCAGCAGTGTTTGTGGATGCTGCATTAGGAGTCCAAGATTGTCTGTTAATGAAATATACTTAATTCATTAATCTTCAATAAGTGCATCATTTACGATAAAAAAAAAATTATAAGAAATCATATTTCTACTATCAGAATGATACAACTGTTTATGGTAAATGGTATGACTATGTTTATATATACCAACTGAAATTCTGGAAATACCTCAAAGGATACAAGATTTAAGACACCTTAAGGGATTCTGATGCTTAGAGAACAGATGTGGTTTTATCTGATATCCAAAGTAATTTTTGACTTCTTAAAATCTTGACTTCTTTACCTACACTTCAGTCTCTAGCCACTAAAATATTAATATCCTTATTTTTCATACTTTATGCGATTTATTGAATTATGTCAATGCTGCTCTATTTTATGTTATGCCTGTAAAAGGAGCCAGTATTCCTCATACTCCTAACTATATAAATTCCAAGCCAGTGATTTTTCTCATAAAGTTTATCAAAAAGTTATTGTCTTGTCCTCTTCAATTCTTAATGTAATGAGAATAACTGAAGAACGGAGCTTTACAATTCATTTTACTGCTCTCTGGCCGGAAAAAGTATATACCATCTAAGTCTCACTTAGGTCCCACTTCAGAATTCATAGTGGGTCTATTAAAAAATAATCTCTGGACAAATTAACATAAAATCCAATTTATATGATGTTTCACGTGTCATCATCACTGTGATTTACAACATAATGGTTCAAAATCATACTTTAAAAGAATGACCTCCCTTGAACTTTAAATGCCAGAGATACTCATTTGTTCTTCAGAGTAATATTTCAGCACTTCACAAGATGACATTTAATTGCTGTGCTCAGTCTTCACCAGCAACTATATTCTGTGTAATTTATTACTGATAGAACACTACTGACATTGATGAAGGCACAAAGCAATATCTTCATCCCTTTACATTTACAAATATGGTGGCTGAGCGCTTCTGACTTTCATTTTTTAAGCAAAAATTTCAATTAGTTCTTTAGAAAATAATTTTTCAGATCTGTGTAGTCATATTACATATATAAAGTGGCCATCTCTGAATCATAACAGCTTTTTTAATAACATGTCAAAAATCTTGTGCTAACTTATTTTAAATTAAATATAAGTTTCAACCTGTTTTAAACAAAACACTGACCTTCTGACAAAATAAAAGCTTTCTACTGGAAAAATCAGTTTGTCTGTCTATCAAAAAAGTATTTTTTATGTTTTTGGTATTCAAGTTTTCCATTGACAGCGTTCAATGGCACTTTAGCATTTTACACTGAAAACCTTAATTAGAATATTTTCATGTAGTCTTTCCTCAGATATGCGTATTATATTTGGTAGAATTCATGCAGGGAGATGTAGAGCTCTAGAACATACCCACACTGAACTTTCTGAAACATTCATTCTTTATTTTTGTATTTAAAATACCGTGTTTCTTAAATAATTGCTATGCTGAGTAAAACTGTACTCTGAGCTGGTCTCTTTTTTAATCTGTATGGAGAAATAGGCATTTTTAAGGAAAATTCTTCATATGCTAAAGAAAATATCTGAGAGACATCAGATGAATTGTCCTCCAAAAGACCCTTTTTCTCCTCACTGGCTATAAAAAGAGCCTGTGATAACCTAGATATAAATGTCTGCATTCCAGATTTCAGGTGGTGAAATGAAGCCTACTATTAGGCTATATGCTATACAAATAATTTCTCTATATATTCTTGGTATGTACATGTACTCAAAAGTTATTATAATATACAATACTTAGATGATAATGCATGATAAATGATATGTAATACATAATAAATTATAACACCTAATACTTAGATGATAGTTTCCAAAACTCATACCTGTTGCTTTGCTTATTATTCAGAGTTGGGGACTTATTTATTTTTTCAATATCACTTCTGTCTGGAATTCTGTCAGAAACACAGAAATTATTTATAATATAACACTCAAGATCTTTTTTTTTAAAAAAAGAACACTTTCAATAAAGTTAAATGATGGAGCACCATTTTGCCTTGTGTACAGATTAAAAATTCCCCCGTATTAAAATACTCTTAAACCGAAGCTGAATTAATATCAATTTAGTGCATTAATAGCTGAAGAGTCTATGTAGTTCACTGTAAAAAAATGTTTTAAAAGGTTATGTTCAAACAAGAATTGATATACTGTATCAAGCCTCATTATTGTTAACTGTTTGTTTATTACAACTCCTGTGAATTTGACCAGGATAGTAGAAAGAAAGCAATGTTCAGTCAAGCAGTGCATAAACTATCACCATTCCCTCTCTCTCACCACCTCTTGAGAGATGTAACAGTCTAATTTTCTTTACAGCTTTAAGGGATCAATGTGATTTGAAAATACTCTGGTGTAAAATCCCTGATAAAGCATGGTAGTGACCTACAGGAATAACATCTATCAAAGAAGTTAGATTACTTGTACTTGAATTGATTTCATTAATCCATGAAAGTCACGCTAAGGAACAAGCACGTGATTTTTCAAGCCCTTTATGGATTCTACAGTTGTTGCCTGAAACCCTTCTGAATTTTCACAGAAAGCACCATGTAGCTATCGTAGCTGAAACAGTTTTAGTACTTATTTTATTTCAGCTTTCTTCCCATAGATGGAACACCTTTTAATAAGAACAAGGGGACTCTGAATAGCTCATGTATAAAGTGATGTACATCGAAAGAGGTTACAAATACTAACCTGAGAGGGTTATCTTAAATATTTGGTTAAAACAGCTGAAACACATTTTGAGCTACAACATATTTACATATAGAAATTACTTAATTATCTATTTCAATCTATAAACTGAAGCTACAACATCTATAAACTGAAGCTACAAAAAAATTAATCCTATAACTATATTATGTACAAAGCATTTTGTATCCTGCCTTCAGTCAAGTATCACAGAATACTGTTGTATTTGATAAAAAGCTTTCAGAGGATCTCTGGGACGGAAGCTGCACCAGCATGCGCTCTGTGTCTTTTTCAAATCTTGAATTTAATTGTGCAAATAACTATCTCATGTCACTGGGAGCTTGTGACGGTGACTGGCAGTTACAGTTACTCGGAAGATCACTAGAGGTCTCACTAAACTTGCTAGCATTACTGCAGATGCAAACATGAGTTTGTTCTAATTCACAACTGTCCAATGAACCAGCATTTCTTTCACGTTTTATTTCATATTTTCAAATTTCAGCACAATAAATAGTTCTGCATTTTCTCATTTTAAAGACTTAAAGGGTCCATCTGCTATCCTACTCCACTGCTGCCCAATGTAGCAGATGCATTGAAAAAAGTGAAAGAAGACAGGTAAGTATAATATTAACTGCTCTTTGTACAACTTTCCAGCTTCATCAGAAGCAGCGATCAAAGAATGTCCTCTCTTTGCACCCAGAATGCTGTCTCCAAGAGGCACCTTTGGATCAATGATCCATTTAGCTATCTAATGCTTTTGTGAATCAATTTAAGTTTCTGGCCTCCACGGTATCTTGTGGTGGTGACTCCTACAATTAATATATGTATTAAGGGAAAAATAAATGTTCTTTTTTTCCTTTATTTCTTTTTTTTTTTTTTTTGTCTTTTTTTCTTTTTTTTTCTCTCTTTTTTTTTTTTCTTTGAAATTATTACCTAAACATTTTATAGAGTATCTCCTCATTCTTACAGTGAAAGAAACAGAAAATATTCCTTCCTTACTCAATTTCCCTAAATCACTCTTTTCCAAGCTGAGGAATCTTTGTCTCTTTAGATATTCTCCATATGAAAGCTATTCCATCCCCAGGATTATCCTTTCTCACCTTCTTCTTTATTTTTTTCTGGTTCTGTTGAAGTTTCTTCACATAAGCGAAATACTGTGTACAGTGTTCAAGATGTGCAAAACAGGTTCATACCATGACCGGACAGTGGTTTCTGATTTGCTCTCAGTTAATTTTCTAATAATTTCTGCTGTTCCAAAGGATTGGATTATTAATAAAGCAGACAATGAAAGTGTCTTGTTTGCTTCAGTCCCATCTCTTCAGATCTAGCTTCTATAAATGCAGTTAGGATTTATTCTTCCTGGAAGCTATTCTGGACTTAGTGAATGTAATTTTCATCATCACTATCTGACTTTTAAATTTTCTGTCATCTTTTGTCAAATATTTAATTAGTTGCTAATAAGAGAGAAATAAAGGGATAAATAAAAATTTTCCTTGCATCCAGAAAGTCTGTATGTGATTGTCTGCACAATGCAATTGTTGTCTGAGTTGTGTTGTGTAGCAGATCTGCATGCCAGTGCACATGCACCTACTGCCATCAAGCTATGGATTTCTGGTAACAACGTAAGTGCTTGGAGCCGATGGTGCAATCACATGTAGTCATCTGCAATGTTTCTCCCAGGTCCTTCATACTGAAACTGATGTTCAAATTTTACAGATATTGAGTTAGGCTACATTAATATCAAACAATACATTATTGGAACATGGATATGGCAGTAATCAGGAAGCAAAAAGCTGTACTTAATATGGCTTTTAGGTATGTTTTCACTGTCACATTTACACATGAGATGAAGAACTCAAAATTAATCCTACCCTCAAACATTTTATTTTGGATTTTATTTTTTTTTGCAATTAGAATTTCAATGACTATTTGCCATTTTGAAAAATAGCTATTGAAGATACATTCATCCAGATAGATCCAGATTCTTTAAATCATTGTATTTTGGAATATTACAGTCATGATCAGAAGAGATGCAAAGCAGAGTTGTAGAAAGATGTTCCAATATCTAGCTTGAAAAAAGGTAACTCCTAAAGACCTTTGGCAGGATAGAAGACTACTATTTTACTATATTTTACATATCAACAACACAGCTTACAATAATACTGTAAACATGTCTGAGAGATCTCCAGTACCAAGGTGATTCTTCTCAGGTCTACTAGGAGCAGTCCTTTAGACTTTATTCTACATTCCTGGAATATGCTCTATTTTCAAATCTGTCTTTTAGTTTTGAACAGGAAAATAAATCAATGATTCTTTTTCACACAAGCAACTAAACAATACAGCTGTTCTGCAAACTGGTCTATTCTAAGTTTGGAGATTTCTGTACTTGTGCTTGCCAGGCAATTTATAAGAAAATAAGGGAATTGTACCTGATGGAGAACATCTTTCACAGAGGAAGCAGAAGTACTGAATTTGACTGCAGGCTACAAAAAGATGCTAAGAGAAAATACATCACCACACCCTTTTATGCCTTAGGTTGCAGGTTTGAGGAGATGCAGAACACGTGGTCATCCCTTACAGAAATGCCTGATGGCAATGGGTGTGTACAGATTAATCCTGAAATGGCTACACTACACAGTTTGGAGAAGAACAGTGACGAGGGAGGGAAAATAACTTGACTTCAGTTTCCTCATTGTGATCATTTCAAGGTAGAACCATCATTATTCATTCCTTTTATGGAAATATTCTGTATTAGTTAATGGAAGCATTTATTCACATCTATAATCCCTTCTTTATATTCCTGTCATCTGTTACATAATAATCGTTTATGTTAGATACTTGTGTATATGAAAACACAAAACCTGTCAGCTTACAAGCTAAAATAATTCAGAAATAATATCACCATAAAGCAAAGAGACATAGATAGAGTACAAAAGAACAATGCTGTTCAGCAACACTGTAGAAACCAGAATTGTCCTATGATATCTAAATTAGTAATCAGGGTTTCTATGCATGAAAAACAAGCCTTAAAAACTGTTTTGAAGTCAATGAGTATGTGGATAACAGTGACATAGATGATATATTCTACTTGACTTTCCAAAGAGCTTAATAGAAATTTGCTTTAAGAGCTCTTAAATAAACTGACCTCCTATGTAGAAATAGAGAAAGTCCTTTCATGCATAAATATCTAGTTAAAAAGTAGGAAACAAAAGTTTGAAAGATGACAATTTTTCAGAGTGGGAGAAGGGATCTGTATAAGACCTGTTTTTTTCCATATGTTCATGAATTATCTGGAAAAGGAGAGTGAGATGATGTTGCTTGCCAATGACACTAACTCATGATAGTCAAAACAAATGCCGACTGGCAAGGCTTTCAGAAGTTATCTGCTAAGATGTCAGATTTCTAAAATGGCAGATGACATTCACTTTTCTTAGATGCAAAGTAATGCCTGCCAAGAAAAACAATTGATCTCTGAACCAGCTATTATCACTCAGGAAAGAGGTCTTGGAATTATATAGATAATGTTATGAAAAAGAAAGCTTAATTTTCAGCAGCACTCAAAAGAGCAAATTCAATATTATGAAATATGAGGGAAGGAATAGCAAATGAACCAGAAGCCATTGTTATACTCCTCTATATATACGAGGTGTGCACCCACCTTAAATACATGTATGAAGGTTTGGACTCTTAAATCAAAAAGACTAATATGGAAATAGAAAAGATACAGAGATACACAATAGGTAAATTGAAGTTATAGAATGGTTTCCTTGTGATGAGTGACCAAATACAGCAGGATTCACTGGCCTGTAGAAGAATTGATGGAGGGGTGATGTCACACAGCCCTGTAGCCTATTCTGTTCCAGACTTTGATGGAGAAGGTAAATTTTATGTAACAATATTTTTTGTTTCGTACAACAGAAATAGGTGCCATCAAACAAAATAACGCAGTGCTAAGATCCGACCAAACAAGTACACTTTTTCCACAGTGTGCATTTAAGTGCTGGTACTCATAGCCTCAGCATGTTGTGGATACCAGATGTTATTGGGGGCTGAATTTTGAAGGTGCAATGCAGAAAGAATCTGCAAACACAAGCATGGTCATGTCTTAACTCAACAGAGGTCAATGCTGAAGATGACATTCAAATGAAGCACCTGTATGATAAGCATATGATTCTGATATTTGTACTGATCATGGTAAGAAGTGGCAGCAAGGATTTGCAAAGAACTATGGGTTTAGCCATGTTGTGCTTAGCTATTGGAGATAGGACTTTGATTTATAGTATGAAAAGCAGAAAACTGGGGAGCAGTGGTTATCATCTGTGCAGAGATACTTACATTTAGCAAGACAAGAATACACGTGAGTTGATATAGAAAGAGAAGAGCAAGATGTCAGAAGAATCTTTTATCAAATCACATTTCCATTGGTCTCATTGAACACTTGTGCAAAAATCATTCAAAGTGTTCCACTTAGACGCTTAATAAATAACAAAATTTTAAAAACCCACTTCTTTCATTCATACTTTCATTTTTAAGAGCTCTCATAGGTATGAGAATCACAAAATACAACACATACAGAAAAAAGCCCTACCTGTCTAAGGTAGTATCAGACCTGTATCGTCCAAGTACTGCTTTCTGTTCTTCCTTTTCATTTGTGCTACTGTTATAAAAAAAGTTAGAAATGCCACTTTTGTCACTGCTTTTATTAAACAACTCATCAGCAATAAAACAATATATGTCTTGAATTAAGGTATCATACAGGATTTCAGACCATCCAGATGCCAGCAAACGCAAGCTTGCATCTATTGCAATGATAGACTCAACAATTACTGACATTGGAGTCAGATTAACAGTGGAAACCTGTATAGACTAAAATTGAACATAGCAAGATCTTGCTATAAGCAGGATATAGTAAAAGGATACTCAGTTTCCTTTGGCAATATTGTTAGAAAGGTATTCAGATACTCTACTGTACCTGTGTAGGCTGTCTTGGGATTTGTATTGACTAAGCACAGCCCTTCCATAGTTTTCATCAGCACTTCAAGCAAAAGAAAGACAGTGATTAGTTAAAATATTAATATTAAATATAGAAAAATGTTTCTTGGCAAAATATTTCTGTCCTTGGTCAGATTTCACAGCTGTCTAATACCATTGTAACCACACCAGCTATAGATCTCTACATTAGATGACTTCAGACATTTGGAGTAAGGATTATCTCTTCCTACGTGCTCTTCATGGACAAAATAATGAGGGCTTGGTCTCAAGGTAGAGTTTTTACTGTAATAGAAGTCTTAGTTTGCATTAGAATAAATTTAAATTGATTCTGACTTAAGTTCCTTAAAAGAACTTGCCAAGTTTTATAATCTTCATGTTATAAAAAGAAGTCAGATCATATTCTTGCAACCAAAAGATATGAAATGTGGGATTTTTCTTGTAGAGCAGAAGCCTGACATCTCACTAAATGCTCAGTGCTCAGAGGTCCCAATGAAAAACATAGTCAGTGAAACTCCAGCAAACTAATACTTCTAAAAGGCAATCAAACCTCATCAAGATAACCAACTAATAATTATTTGATTGAATTAATTTAATTCTGGTTGATACCATTCATTAAAAAGCAGACACTGGAAGAAAATGCACGTGGCATATTGAACTAAATACAGAAGAAATGTATCTCATATCTTTCTTACCTTTCCTCTTCAGGCCTCTTCTTTATCCAGCTGTTATCTTGCAAAAGGGTCCGTCGTTTATTAATATCATGAGTAGCCTGTTGTCTGCTTTTAATTGCAATGGAGGGACTTTTATTATCTGCAAATGCAGAGAAACATGTCTTGAAAATGGACGTATGTAATAACTTTGGAAACTTAAAGTACTATTAAAAATGCTGAAATATGTAGAGGTTTAGCACAGGTAGATCGAAACTTAAGCTATCACTTCTGTTTAGTGCAGACCATTTTCTTTAAAAGTTTGTGGCTTAATCCCTTCAACCTTGAAGGGATTGCAGAAGCCCTGTTTACCAAACCAAATTCAGTTTCATTCTTAATATGAAACAGCTTCTTGTATTTTTAATGTAAACAAATATCACAGATCTGATAAAGGAATTATGAAATATACATACAACAGTAATTCCAGGAAAGTCAAACGAATGAATCATTTTTCCTGGGGTGTTGCCTGTGGTTTTTGTATTTACAGATGTGTGACAGGATGTAAATTTTGAACGAAAGGTAATCTTGAGTTGATCACATGGTCCTCCACCTACATCCAGCCCAACATGTGTGGAATTTCAGGTTTCTCAAAAGGGCTAGACTCCCTCTGAAGCTTTTTCCTCAGTGACTGAATGAACAGAATCTCTTTTCTAACCAGCTACTGATTTTTACTGAACTTTTAACAAAAGTAATACCTTTAAGATCAATATCTTTACATCAAATTTTAATAAAATTGGTGCATGATTTCAAAGGCTATTTGGAGGGACAGACATGCACACTCACACACTTGTATGAACATGGAAGCTTTATTTATTTATAAAAACAACCTAGAATATCTTTGCCCAACAAAGCTGATATTTACTATATTGAGGAGCTAGCAATTTGATGTTCACTTGATTTGTAAGCATATATGTTCTTCACTGTATTAGAAAGCTGATGTTTATCATCTCCTTTGGTTTTGCTTTATGAGGAGTTTGGCCCAGAAGCAAGAAAAAATATTAAATGTCTACAGTCCAGTATTCTCAGTTCTTTTTGTTCCCACCTAAGTTTCAGATCATCAGCCTATTTAAGGTGTCGGGGAATATTGCTATTCCATTTTATCATTGCCTTTTAAAATGGAAGACTAGAAGTGAATCCCAAAGAGAAACTCAATTTTTTAATTGCGATACTTGCCCCAAATGTTCCCAGACAAGAGAAGGTAAAAAATTAAATATGCAAAACCTTTGTCAGTCACACACAATTAATCAACAAACTGATTGTTGAAGAATACTGTTTCTCAGGTTTTCTTTTAGAGACCTTAATGATTTTCTCCGTGAATTCCTCACTCTCTGAGGAATCACGCAAAAGGAGTTCAACACCACCAGATTTCAGGAGACATCACTATCTGGTGTTCAGTAAGGACATTTGACTGTAAAGATTTTGTATAGAAAGATCACACTTCACAGAAAAATACAGGCAGTCAGTATTATATCATCTGTCAGAGCTATGTTTTGGCATTTTGCTATGATTTATAAGAAACAGTAGTTCTTGCTTTTAATATAAGAACTTCAGCTGTAGTTATAACATGAAAAATGACAAAAAGCTACAGTGAGTGAAAGACCAAATCATAATAAAGCACGAAAACATTTATTTTAAGTGACAATGGCCAAGACTGATTTTTTTTAATATATTTTTCTCATAAAAGAAAACCACTGCAGTACAAAGGTAAAATTCAGTCTAAAAACATATATCTGACTGTAATCCAAACTGTGTCTGCTCTTACACGTTGCAATTCCCTGTAGATATGTCCATACCACCAAATAAAAGATGGCCAATGAAAGAATTAAAGGATTGGACTCATCATTCCTGTTTGTCTAGTTGCAAACATTCCCTAAATCTGTGATGGACTAGTTCTTTCCAAGACTGAGCTGCTAGAGAAGTGACAAGCATTTAAGAACCATGTCTGTGAAAGCACGGATGTGTGTTGCTGTCTCTTGGCCTTGGTGCCAGGGTTTGGCTTTCTTTTTTTGAGCAGCATAGATGGAGTCCTTTGAGACCATTAAGAAATGAAAAAGCATATCAAAGATGAGATTTATAAGAATGTGGCTGACAATCATGGTAGATTAAGAACTAAAAGTCATCTATCCTCACTGCATGATTTCTGCATCAGCCTGTTTACTGCTAACTGAGCTCATTTTTCTCTTAAAAATATTTGTTAAAATTGGACTTTAAAGAGTTCAAAAAATTAATGCCAGCCTCTCCTGCATAGCTCCAGCTCTTCATTAAAATATCTAACAAACACTTCTTGAAAACTGAGAAGAGGAAGGACCTCCATCAGTTTATACAATAGCATTATCTCATTGTCACTGTCAAGAACAGAGAGTTGTAATTAGCAAACAACACCATATTAAATGCACTTGCTCTAAATATTTACTGTTTTGAATATACTGATAATAGTAGCAATGAACATAGAAAAAAAATAGTAATATTCAAAAAACAAGGTTTTGAATGAAGATAAAGAGCAAAAACTGTACCTACCCATTCTCATAAATATTTAGATATTTTTTATTTAGTGCACTCATTTGCATTTAAAAAAAAAAAAAAGTTAATTTTCAAAAGTAGGAAAAATACGAGTTCAAGTATATGCATTCCAGAGATAAAACTTCTCTACAGAAAGGATAGCTGATGGCAGTTCAAGGGGTGGAAATGATCCCAGCATTCCTTTCATACCAATAGTTTTAGCCAAAGGTGCTTTCAACTATCTGCTATACATTTTAATCTGTGCTCTACTGTCAGACATAACCTCCTCTGAATCTTGAAGAAACACTCTTCAATGACACAAACATAACATAAGCATTTCTATATATTCAAGAAATACTCAGCATATATTCAGTTTTTAAAATTAACCTTGCATGTACAATATTGGCTTTTTTCCAACAGCATTTTAGAAAAACTGTTATCACCTACCCAAAAATCACTTGGATTTCACAGAAATAATGTCTTTCTTAATTGCTTAGTGCAAGCAAGGGTTTGCGAAATCTCCTATGAAGGCAATAGCCAATGAATGTACGTTGTGTTTCCTTTTCAAGAAACATCACAAGTAATTTGCTGATGTATGAAGCCTTGGGTTTGCTGAAGAGTACTCATTTCTGGTCTAATGAATTGTCCCTCAAGTTTCAATTTAAAAACTTAAATATAGATCTGATACAACAGCTCATGTTACATGAGCGCAGGCAGATGGAGCTTATTGTCTTCTTATTTTAGCAAGAAAAAGTTTATGTCCTTAACATGGTAGAGCCAAGCTGCTCCCTGCCATGGCTGCAGTCATTTTGGTGTACCTAGGCCTGGCACGTCCCTGCTAAACCAGGTCCTCATGCACCTCAAAGCCTTTCAGCCTTTAGAAGTATTTTGTAGGTTGTAGGGAAAGGGAAAACTTCATCACGTTTCCAGTTTGCCTCTGGTCATTTCTCTGCATAGAAAGCAAAATCCAGCCCTCCTCAAGTTTTGTCCCTCCAGAGGAACAAACAACTTCATCTGACAATGATTAAATAGCTTTTCTCCCCCCTTCCCCCACTCTAATCTTCCTCCGTTTCTCCTCATTTCCCTTGAGTGATTCAAAGAGATGGTGCTGAGAGCAGTGGACGCTCTGTTTGCCCACTGCCCTCCCATCCACCGTGCTCCTGTGGGGTTTCCACAGCAACCACAGGCCTCCGCGAAGGGAACCGCCATCTTGCACCACACTGCCTGGCTCCCCGGCTCCCCCGCACTACACTGCCCGTTGTGGTGTTTTGGCCTCAGTCTCTGCCAGCAAATGCTTATGCACAACACCACTAGCTTTGCCTCTGTAGCATGTCCTGTTGTGAATCTAATAAACAGCCTGTCACCGCAGAAGAGTGGTGGCACGCCCTGTGAGGGAGCTGTGCGGTGGGCATGGTGATGCTTAGAAAGGACACGACCCCTACACCAACCTCTAATTGCCCTGAGAGCAGAAAATGAGGGATACTCAGTATTACCACTTTGATTAGGAGACTGTTTTCGTATGCTGAAAGCTGACATTTTGTTCAGCGTAGTGTCCTCCAGTGGGAATCTAAAAGAAAACACGAAAAAAGAAGAGACAGTTGGTGATGAGATTAGAAATCAGCCCCAAAGACCATTTAAGTTGGTTGCCACTTCGATCACCTCCTCACACAAGTTTAGTCTGATGGGGTGGAATGACTTAGCGTTAGCTGCAGCCCTCTTTGAACGGAAGCTCAGGCACAGCCGTGTTTTTCCCCTCCCTAGTGATGACTGTGTATTCCTGCTCTGTGTCTCTGCCTGTCCCTCTGCTTCTCCCTCCTTTTCCTCGTTGGGAGCTCCTTCCCTGAGAGCATGTGGGGTGGTGAGAGCCTTCAGAGGGCAAGACAGAGTAATGAAGAATGGGGTGAGGTGATTAGCTTAATGGGAAGATGATATCAGCCCGTGGCTCAGAGAAGCACTTGGAGCACACAAGGGCTCACCCAGCCCCGCTGACAGGTCCTGCCGCTTCAGTGGCCTGCAGCTAACGCGGGGGGCCAGGACAGAGGCGGTTCTTCTTCCCTGCAGCAGTTTTCCAGTCACTGAATTCCCTTATCTCAATTCAGGTTAAAAAATGAGCCTCCAAGACTGCTGATTTAAAAAAAAAAAAAAAAAAAAAAAAGTGATTATTTGCATGTTGAGCCACTCAGAAGATTTTATGCTATGTTTCGAAACTGTATCCTGAATATCAGCTTTCCTAGAGAAAGAATCAAGCAGAACACAATGTCATTTCAATGACAAAAAATTCTCCCTTAAGTGAAAAAAAATCAATCCTAACACTGATTTAAGAGTTTGGCAAAACTGACCCTCTGTAGCAAATGGTTTTCTTTTTGTAAAGCAGCATTTTCCAAGAAAGCAGTATTAAGCTGGAAAGCTCCCAACCAGTTCCACTGGTCAGGCTGCTAAAATTTACAGAAGCACAGGAAAACAGTTTTTGTGACAGAAGCAGTCATTAAAAATCATAAACATTCCTGGTTCTCTGAGTGACACAGTTGTCCTGGTTTTTTTGCAGGTGTAAAGTATATTGTTCACTCACCTAAGACAGAGTGCATTGAGAGACTGGAGCCTACAACTTTACTGATGGAAGGTGAGATGTTGAATTTTGGCAAAAGCTTAGCAAAAATACTGAAAGTAATACTGACAAACTTATAAAACTAGCGGATTATACAATGAATTGCACTCAGAGCATATATTTCTTTTCTATCTTTTTACTGACAGATGATTGCTAAAAAAGCTTATGATTACCAAGAAAAGAAAGCAGGAAACCAAAATCTGGAGGTAAACAAATACAGATCTTTTTAGAAATTAAAGCAATAAAAACAAAAATAATATTGGAGTCAAAAAGTCCACATGTATCTTACCCAGTTGTGAAATTCCAGATGTTTAAAAGAGTTTAAAATTCTGGCATGTTGACTAGTAGGCTCTGTCCCACACTGCTTTCTTTTAACCTTAGCTGTTTGTATCAAGCATGCATTGGCACAGTGTGTGTAGAAAACATGTGACTTCTGCATCTGGTTCCCGCCCAATAAAAGTATGCTCAGGGCTATGGTGAGCCTTATTTATTTTGCAATAGGTTATAAAGTATCTTTCAAAATTAGTGATATAAAGTTTTAAGCAGATATACACTGAATTTCCTAGAAATTGTTCATGTGGGTTATCAAACAATCAGTTTTAGACAATAACCAATCTTAATATAAATTTTACTGAACTGTCACAATATGATAGAGAGGACTCTGATTTATTTATGTTTTCAGTTTAGCAACAGCTGGACATCTGATACTGGTTTTTATTTCAGTAAGTCCCGGAATAATAGGAAGCTTGACATTTCTGTATATTTCACAAGCAATGAGTGTTGGCACTTCTTCATTTGGAGAAGCAGCAGTATTTTGTATAGAAGGAGCTTGGATTTATTTTCTAATAAAGACTTTTAAAGCCATTTCCTGAGTGAAGTGAATCATAAAACTTTGAAAATGGAGCCTTCTTTTGTGGAAATTAAACCAAATGTGGTCATTCTAAGGCTTAGAATATCTTGTTAAAAATACACATTTTGCAATTTAAATATTTTTCATTAAAAATTACAGGAAACAGATATATAGACTTCATGTTATACTATAGCCTTCGTTTCCAGGGATTCATAATGGAAACTGAAATTTCTTACAGAACTGGCAAGAAAGTATTGTACACCTTTGTTAAAAATAAACATGAAAGCCTCAGACATTTATTATGAAATATAAATTATCACCAAAGTAAAAAATCCATACATTTTGACGCTTGCCTTTAAAATCTATGGAATAACTACAAATGCATTAATGACGTTGAAACCCTGAAACACAATGGGAAAGAGGGTTTGCAACTCCCGCTTTTATACATTCATGACAAAAGAAAGTCCAGCAAGCATGTTTCTTCCATCCTTCACCATTTAATTAAAACTGTGTTTTGTTTCTTGTCCTATATTCATTTTCTAATGTTTTTAGGGCAAAACAACATTTCTATTGCACATGCGTACAGCATCCAGAATAAGCTACTACCCCGTCTCCGAGCCCAAAAGTAGTATGAATAAATGAATACAGGCACACTCCCTTTTACAGTCAGCACTGAAAATGTGCCAGGTATTCTGAAATCTTAAACCCAGGCATTTTAGTCTTAGAAAATACTACCATATTGTCCTCAAGGTTTACTTCTTGCTTCTGAACTTTCAAGTTATATATTAAAGATTAATCCATTAAAATTTAAAATGCAAATTAAAAAAAAAATCCTACTTTCATCTCTAGCACAGACAATCAAGAATCATCAGAGTAAGATTTAAATTTCAAGATCTTAGAAATGAAAAGAATCTTGCATAAAGAGGCAGAATACAACTCATCAAAGCATTTTTTTCTTGGTATTCACTATTGTGAACTATATGTGTATCTGTGTATGTGGAAAGGGGAATGGACAGAAGGTTGTGGGGATCACATTAGTTTAAAAACTTCAGCTCATAAAGATCTGGAACCATCACATTATTCACACAGGTCAGTGAACTGCTTATCTTCAGCCCATAGTTCAAGAGAGATTAAAAAAAAAAGATTTTTAACTTTGTAAATGAAATCATGAGAAAGAAAAGTTATAGGCTTCTATAATATAGTATAGAGTAGTGTAGTATAGTATAATACAGTACAGTACAGTATATTATAATATAGTAGTAAATTATGTTCAGGCATTCTTAATAAGATCTCAACCACTGAAGCAAAACAACTCAGCTGGAATGCAAAACAAAAACAAACAGGAATGCAGCTCCAGTGTAATTTGATTTTAAAAACAGCATCAGGAAACTTTAAAAGAAAATTAAAACTGCCCCAGCCAGTTCAATGAGCAGTTCCCAAAAAGTTTTAAGACATACCAATCTTGGATTCAGACTCTCCCCCATTTTTTGGTAAATCCAAATACAGTCCCAAAGAAATCCAGAAAAAACTTCAGATGTGACTTCAGGGAAAGTCAAATTGCCACTCCAAGCTGCTAGCAAGTTACTCAGAAAGCAGCACGGGTCTCCAAATCTATTTTTGTAACAAATAGCCATATCGACCGTTCTACATCTCCTTTCCACATCCTGCAGTGACTGATCAGCAGAAGACCTCAGGCCTGCCTTAAATTATCAAAGCTAGACCTTCTAGTTTTCATCTGGTCTGAACACACCCATTCTCCCAACATAGAGTCCTCTTGCCTTCCTTCTTCTGTTCTTGGCTGTAGCTTTCTATGTAATTAGGTTTCACATATATGCATTGCTGTATTTAAAAAAAATAAATAAGAATAATACAGGCACTTCCTGTACGAATCATGTTTTCCACATCAGACTGAACTAGTTACAAGCAAAAATGTCTTTGTTCTTTGGCTTCTAGCTATGACAGTGATTAAGACCTTGTTTATAAATATTCAGTTTATATGTATTTTTCTTTCAATAAACAATAGTTCTTTCCACAGTCTAGAGGTACCACGTCATCCCACTGTATAATAACTAATTCTATGTAGTAGATGTTGAGCGAGTGTCGAGAGCCTTCTTTTCTGAAAAGTCAAAACATCTGGTTTTATACTGAAGTTTTTCATATAAAGCATTGCCAAATGTGGATGCTTAAATATCAAACTTCAGACTATTATTAATGAACTGGGTGATAGATTATGTTGTAGATGAAAAATTAGTTTAAAACAAGGAATTTTCAGTATTTTCCTGTCTTCCAGCTTCTCATGCTGCATTACTAAAACAGCCTGGATTGCAGAAAAGCCACTGAGACTGGCATGTCCATATAAAATGCCAGCTGGAACAAACAAGTGTCTTACACGTGGCTGTCCATAGCCACAGCTTGCTCACTACTGTTTGCAATGCATCCTTAAAGTTCCAGCTTTTCAAAAAGGTCTAATATCTGCCATATGAAAAAGAAAATATATACTTTTTTTCTTCCTTTCTTTATCTCAAATATGAAAATTTCCACCAAAAATTCTATCTACTTGAAGGACTATTCTGCTCTGAAGTAAGGTGAACGCTCAGTACCTTGTGAGTACTCAGAGCTCAAAATTTTACAATTATTCAATTAGAAATCTAATGAAAGGTTGGGAAATGAAATTAATTTTCCACATATTTTGTGCTTTCAATATAGTCTAGGGGAAATTTAGGATAGAATAACTATTTGTGAGAGAATAAAATGAAGGCTTACTTCAGCTTTATTTTTTCCCCCTCCCACAGGAATTGTTAATGTTAATGCTATACTGCATGGTTTGTCTTTCATCTATATGAGATGAATGTGGAGAATATGACATTTTAACCAAAAGTACATTTGATCCTACTTAATCACAGTTTCAGAGCACATCACAGTATTACTCTGCCTTCAGTTAACAACTTTTATGTTAGGTCAGCAAACTTTTTTCTTTTCTCCATCATTTCTGTTGAATATAGTAAGACTTAGATGTGTGAGCAAGCAACTGATTAAAGTAATTCTGACTTGATACAGGATAAAGATCTCCAAGCCTTAGAAATAAGGCACTGGGGAGACACATCATTACAATTGGTCTTCTAGACAGGCATTCATAATTGTGTAAGGTGAAATCTTTTTGGTTTGGAAGTTAATACCAATTTTGCTATTCTCTACATCCATCATTTCTCTCCTCAAATATCAGAAGTGCTGTGACTGGGCTGTCAGATCTGGCTACTTATATTTCAACTCTAATAAGAATTTGTATTTCTAAACATGACTTCATTTCGTGATTGCAGGTAAAGGTTGTTTTTCAAATCACCGCCACAGCTAGAGCCACTCAAAGCTGTACAATCATCATTCACATTTCCAAACTTGCTATTTCAGTCAAGTATGTGAGCTCCTAAATATCCCTAAAGGCCCATTCTGTCAGGTGCAGATCTGTACGTATAACTGAAGCTGCAATTTCTTCCCTCCAAAATTGTCACCGGTATCCAAAGCTGTAGCTCAAGACTGTAGGTCAGGACATGAAGCAGAAAGAACAATGGTGTTGCTAACTCAGCACAGTACCAGGTGTGTATTCAGACCTTAACAAACAAACACTTAAGTATCATTTATATACTTCAAAATTATAAGTAACATGATTCTCTTTATTTGGCTGTTAGTTAGCCTTTTTGTCTTTTTCCTGAAAACTACACGTAAAACTATACATAAAAATAACTACATTTATTTTACAGACATTAGAAAACAACAAAAAGATGTTCCTATAGAGATTTTTTTTTCAAGAGTTACATATCAGAACAATAGCCATAAAATACATTTGTAAACTTCTGCAAGTAATATATTGTGTTTAAGTGAGTATTTTTCTATACACTTTAGACCACAGAATTGATAACAACCCTCACAGAGAATAGGAATAACATGTGTACATGTGTAAAAGAGAAAACAGGGAAGGTTAGAACAGGCAATGTAGGACTAAAGAACATGTGAATGTATAACAGAAATCATTCATCTATTTGTAGCAGAAAGAGCTCTCAGAACTGGTTTTTCAGGACGTGGGCGGAGAAGATTCTGTTTTGAAAGAAATTAAGCTTTGGAATTGTCACTAACAAAATCGGCTGCTAAGTCAGAACACAAATGTGTATGTGTTTTCAAATTGGAAATATATGATCAGTTTTAAATGGTGGGGGGTTTTAACAACAGTGTAGAAGATGGGTGATAATTTTAGATTTTTTAATTCAACTTGTTCCTTTTATTTTGATATATTTTTAATGAAGAACACTTCCTGTTTATACATGGGTTCCATTCATGGTACAGATAAGTCATGGTATCAAGGCAGAATAGGTATTTTTGTTATAGCTTTATCAAAGGTGGAAATGATTTCTGGATACTTCACAAGTAGCTTGTTCTTAAAAAAGCAAACTGTTGCTATTTTTTTTTCAAAATCATATACTTGAAGCAAATACAAGTAAATGAGATCTTAATACTCTCTAATTTTAGATAAAAATTCCAAGGAAAGAATAAAGAAACCATAAAGCAAGCCAAGGAGCAAAAAATGCATTAAAACAACCATCTAGGAAAAGTGGTCTGAACAGAGTTTGTCTTTAATAGCACTAAAATAAATTGCAATTAACAATATAGTGCGTATAATGAAGTAATTAAGATATTATGGCCAAGAGAACATTGAGAACATTTCAGAAAGGTCCAGGAAATTTGAACACCTAAGAGCTGGATTTTCATAGTCAAGTCCTCCACCCTTCTTGAAAATCAGATCTTTTGAAGTGGGATCCGTAGTTGGACACTCAGAAATCAGAGAACAACTGAAAATGTAGGACTTTTGATACATGGTATATAAAACCAGAAAAGTAAACACCCTTACCTAGGTATAGTAGAAGTTAGTGTCCTAGCGTGGCTCAGTGTGGTAAGTCAGCCTGGAGATACCTGGAAGTGAGGTACACTCAAAGCAGACAGAGAGCTGAACTGTCGTTTCCCATCCAGCTGTCTGAAGTCAAGAGACTTTTTCAGAGGCTGAGTCACTTAAGGAGGAGGTAGGAGGTGTGGAAAAGGGTGGCACCTTGCAGAAATACCAGATCAATTAAAAGTACCAGTGAATTCTTATACTTCTGTGCTTGCTGTACTTTTCAAGTGCAGTAGGGCTGGGCTGAACAAAATTAAATACTTTTACAGACTTTAAACAGAAAAACAAGAAAATTACTATTTGGAAGAAATATATTACACTCATTTGGATTTTCCACAGAAAAATACATTGTAGACCTATGGGGCTGTTTGTCAGCTAGAGGGATTCAAATACACAGGTGAACATGAAGAAACAAAGTACTTCATCAAAGGAAAATTCTGCAGAAATGTTATGTGGGGAATACACATGGAATCTGGTACACATTAGGTATTTGTGCTGTTTGAGTATGTGGGCAGAGGCAAAAGATCTGTGGGGGAAAATCTTGTTGCAAGTCTCTCTTATCTGTGCACATTTGCATTCTCCTTCAGTACAGCCAGTAACAAACAAAAAGGAGAGAAGAGAATGCCTTCACTTTTTTTTTTTTTTTTTTTTTTTTCCCCTCTTTACAATGGTTGCAATATGTTTCACAGTAGGCTAAGAACTGCCTTACAGAAAATACAGTAGCAAGGAACATAACTTATAGGATTGCTGTATATGACCCTACAATTCTGTTTAAGATACAGAGTCTGTTTTTAAAGTATCTTATAAAAGCCCACAGTTATTTTATATTTGGAGAGCTCTTGTAGTGAAACATGTAAGATGTGGTTATACAAGATTCTGAGTAGCCTTTTGTCCTACTGTCTTTTGTGAAAATTAAGAATTTCTTGCAACACACACACAAAAAAACAAGCTCTGACACAGATTAACTTAGTAAATGTCTCCTTAGCTGTATTTCTAGTCCTCACTTTTGCTGCTAGTTACCTCTTCATAGGCTCGTTACTTAGTAAGACGAAGTTATTGTCTAAACATTGGTTATATCTGATGAAATACAGCTGATTAAGCAGATCATCAGACAAGAAAATACAAAGTATAAACAACTAACTGCTATAAGTTTCAGAATTAATGAATACAAACAAGCAAATCTTCCTGATCTTTGTACCTCTCATCTTCCGGGTTTCTGAAAGTGAAAAATACTTAGAGCAGTCCTGGCATGTTCAGGTAAACCACATTATATGTTTATCTTTTTATGATCAAGAAGAAGATTTCATGAATCCATCTCTTTACAGACATACTACGATTTTACAATTTTAACACACATGCCTCTCAAATTAAATATATGTCTTTCCTCATAAGCAATGGACAATGGGAATTAGCTTAAAAAGAAATATATACATACACTTTGAGTTGAAATGGACACGTAATGTTAATATATTAACAGCACCTGAGACTGGAAATATCTTTTTGTTTTGAAGTGATTTTCTTTCACAGTCCAGGTGCTAGATTATATTAATTATTACCCAGAATAAGACAGAGGCTTATTCTAAGACAGTCCTTGCTAAGTCTTTATCGGCTGGCATGACGGAGTAGACAATCTACAGGAAAATACATACATATAAGAAATTCCAACAATGGTACTGATCTCAGCTCAAGAATAAAACAGGCCAGCCATCTTTTATTGGCTGATCTGCAACAACTAGTAAGTTAAATGCATGGTGAATTTTTGATGTTATCTATACTGATTACTTAATATTTCATATTTGGAAAAAAAAATAAAATAAAAAGTTATTTTCAGATGAAAACAAATTGGATTTACCATTAATCATTCTGTCTGATTTTCTCTATAGTAATCTCATACAGTATTGTAGCTGGTGAATAAAGAACTTATGATACAGTGCCATGTATCAGGAACTGAACATTTTCAGCATAAGCATACAGTGAAAGTGACCCACGACTATTTTCCATGAACAAACTTCCCATAATCTGAAGAAATTCAGCCTTCACAAATTCAGGGGGACTCAAACCTTGCCTCTGAATCTCAGTATAACAAATAAGATGTATCACAAATCCAGCCATCCCCAGACTGTGTGAACTGTTCTGCAGTCAGGTTTAGGGAAGTGTTGTTTCCATTCTCTAGTTTAAGATCCTTATTTCATTGAAGGAGGGACAGAAGTATAGATAGAGTGAGATTTAATTGCTCAGACTATAACAAAATTTGAATTATGTCTCCCTTACTCCCTTTCTTGCTCAAAAAAGAATTCCCCAGTGTCCTGGGTTGAGTGAGTGGGGGAGTTTTTTGGTGGCAGGGAAGGGGGCTATCGGGGCAGTCCCCTGTGAGAAGCTTCTCGAAGCTCCCCCAGCTCCAAGTCAGCTCCACCTCTGTTTGGGAAATTGAGCCAATCGGCTGCGCCTCTGCGATAACTTATTTAAGAAGGGACGTGGTGACGGGCAGTCGGACTTGTGAGGAGGAGTTGCTGCAGCTGCATGAACACCAAGGTCAGTGGAGGAACGGAGGAAGAAAGGAGGGGGGAGGTGTGCCGGAGCAGAGACCCCCCCTGTATCCTGTGGTGAGACGGCAGGGTGGCCCCCCCTGCCACCCACGAAGATCTACGGTGGAGCAGACATTGATTTATGGCCTGTGGCTTCTGCTTGTATGATCAAGGTGCTGTGCCCGAAGAAGGCCGGGGTCTCATGGGAAAAGGCAGCCCCGCTGCTGTAATTCAGCGCTGGGAGGATTGCAGCATGCGGGGGAGTCCCATGCCGGAGCAGCTCTGGAAGGGCTGCAGCCATGGGAGGGAATCCAGTGAGAGGAAGTTAGTGACCCATGACGGAGCAGTGTGGGGAACTCTGCGGCCCATGGGAGGAATTCAAGTCGGAGAGAGTTTGTGGAGGACTGTCTCCTGTGAGAGGGGGACCACGATGGAGCAGGGGGAACAAGTTCCAGAAACTCCCCCCACTGAAGATGGAAGAAGTGGCAGCACTGACTGCACCCTCATTCCCTGCCCCTGCGCCACTGGGGGAGGAGGTAGAGATATCGGGAGCAGAACTGAGCCCGGGAAGAAGGGAGGGGTGGGGGGAAGGTGTTCTCAAGATGTGGCAATGCTTCTTACTGTCCTACTCTGTTATGTGTTGTTAGTGTCTGTAATAAATGTATGTTCTTTTTTTTCTTCCCCTAACGAGTCTGCCTTTTGCTCGTGATCATAAAGGGGATTTTTTTCCCCATCCCAGTCCTATCTCGAACCCCAAACCTGGCTCTCTGTCCCTTCTCATTGCCAGAGGGGAAGGGAGAGAGAGCTGCTGCGTGGTGGTTGGCTGCCAACCAGCCTAAACCACGACACCCAGTTGCAGCACAAACAGATAGCATTCTGGACACATCTTTTTCAGCAGTGTTAAGAAAGAGCAATGGAAAAAATACAAGCGTGTATATGCCTCTATATTGTCCACCAATGACTTTTAATCAAAGGATGTAATTTACCTAATCTACTAGTTCACCGCACTGGGCCATGTTTTACTACTGACTTATCAAAATTGAAAGAATTGGGTTTTTAGTTCAAACAGTAAAGTGCTTTGGTGATGTCAGTAACTAATTTCATATCTACCTATCACCATAATATCTATGTAATCTGCTTGTTGGGAGTTAGGCAAATACGCTGCTTTTGTTTGACATTCTCACAAGAAAAAAGAGGAACTTCTCAGAAAAATAGATACAAACATAAATGGCCAAATCTTCAGCTGATATAATGGGATATAACTCCACCAGAAACTTTCTGATAGATTGATTTACATTAACAGAGTGCATGGTCTGACATGATTTATGAGAGAAAACAAGAAAAGTCTTATAATTCCTCCCGACATTAACTCCTCTTTTTAATGTATAATAACAAGCAATAGGGACACGCTGCTTATTAGTAATCAGAGGCCACTGTCTCTTGCTGCTTAGTCTGCTAGCATATTTTGGACGCCATTTCTAGCATGCTCATTTTAAATACCTCATCAACAATGGAGGCTTAGGCTTATTTGTCATCCAGAGAATTCTTAAAATGCCTCCTAAGAAACTGCCAGTATGGGATGCTGACTTTTAAAATAGAGTAACACTGGCAGAAAAGCAAACTAGTTCAGAAATGCCATAATTTAGATTTGAATGGCTTAGTCAGTGTTATTAAAGTCAAATGCATGTAGCACCCTGCAGTGGCAATACATTATCGTACTTCCCAATTCCCGCCATTCTCTGAACAAGATGGTTATATTCTGTGTACTTATCTTTAGTTTATACTTTTCTACAAAGTCTATGTCCTTTGATTGCTAGTAAGACGCAATTTATCTACATGATTTTCTTGTCAATTTTTGTTGAGTTTCCAGTTTTAAGTACAAAACATGCTGCAAAATATTGTGCTACCTCCACATTCTTATTAAGGTTTATAAGATGGTCATCGTATGAAAATAGCATAATGTAGCCTAGCCCTGTTGAGCTTTTGTGTAGGTTCAGAAGAGAGAGATGGGAATGTGCAATGACTCAGCAGGCAACTTTTTGGACAAATGCCATTCCGTGACTCCTCCCCAAAAGGGAGGAATACATTACTGAATATGATTTTTTCATACACACAGCCCTCCAGAAGAAAGGTCCTTTAATACTTCAGACCTTCCAGGTAGGATTGGTAAACTATTGTCTTCCAGGTTATCAGATGTTATTGTTGTTGTTGTTATTATTATATTAATGATAATAATAATAATGCGTCTAAAATATTTAAAGACATTCTAGCAAGTGCTGTTCAAATTCTTTAGTTTCAGGGTATAGATAAAACAGCTACATTTATTAAGTTAAACATACTAAATCCCAATCTCTGCCCTGAGGGCAAGTGGCATGGCGTGGTTTGTATCTATATCACTAAACTTACTTTCCAAAAAGAACTGTGTGGCCTCATCCATGCTCCCATCGAAAACAGTCCAAAGCTTGTGCTAGAGAGATCCATGCTCAAGGTTTTTTTCAGAGATAACTAATTGGCAGGAACAAAATTGTGTCAAGGAGTGTGGATGATAATGT